AGGTAGAGAGAGGTATCAACGATTGGAGGGCAAGTGAACGCAGGTGAAAGTGATGGAGAGGAAAGTGAGTAAGTCAACATTTAGCTGAGATGGAACAGGTAATGTCTTGGCCAAAAGGCAGCCACTCACTTTGGGGGCGGAGGCTTGGTCCGGGCCCAGACGACTGTTCGGCAGACTCCCTTTCCTTGGCAGCTTTGTCCTGGTCGCCAGCCGCCTGCAGGGTCGGAAATTCCTCTCGAGAGAATCGCGACAGTAGGCTTGATGCCCTTCCACCTATTAGGATGGGGATGCAGAATGGAAAACAGAAGTACATTTACTGAGGATATGCTTAAAAGTGGAAGGCTCTGACAGGTACCTCAGGTTTCCTGCCTTCAAATTCACCCCCCTATAGAATAACTGCTTCTTCGCAAAGAAAGTCAGTTCTGGGACCACTACACTCCATCATGTAAGAGTGAGACTTGGCTGGGCACAGAGGCTCAAACCTGTAATCCCAACACTAAAAATACAAAAATCTGTCTGGCGTGGTGGCACATGCCTGTAATCCTAGCTACTTGGGAGGCTGAGGCAGGAGAATCGCTTGAACCTTGGAGGCGGCAGGTGCAGTGAGCCAAGATTGTGCCACTGCATTCCAGCAAGACTCCATCTCAAAAAAAAATAAATAAGAGTGAGACAGTGAGACTTAAGGCTCATGTGCCTTCATGAAACTAAATATAGGTTGTCTTAGATTTAGCCAAAGAGGACCAAGGTCACTTTGCTGAAAATACAGTGCAGGGGTCATGCATCCCATGGTGCCTAGACACAGCTCCTCAAACAGTGCTGCACTCACCATCTCCATGTGCTCCATGGGTGACGCTGGCTTGTGCCCAGGACTTTACCCCGCTTGGAACCGAAGGAGTGTTCTGAGGAAGTATTCAGAGAGATGATAAATGATGATGTGGGTGGGGCACCTATGAGCCATTCTTCCCCCAACCCCTCCAGTTCTCCAGGTACCTCGGGGGCTGCTGGGGGTCGTTTCGGCTGGTTGGAGGCAGGCATCTGTGAAGCCGGCAGTGGCTGCGACTCCGGCGGCTGAGCGGTTGAGGCATCGGAACTGAAGGGACAGAATGGGAAGGTTATTCAGGCCAAAGATGCATCCCCGACTTCTCCAGAACTGGTGGAGACTTAGGACTGAAACTCTGCCCATTGCTGCCATTTACAAATTAAGGACAAAATAATTTTGTCATCCTTTGTAGGTTGCCATCTGTTTCTTCATGCTTTCTCTCCAAGACAAAAAGCTAAAGGCATCATTCCTTAGTTACTTAACAAGAAACCTACTACAGATAAGAAAGGAGCCTCCTTCTTTGTCTCTGGTTCTTGTGTGGCTGGGATAAACCAAGCCCCAACTCTCCCTGAAGTTCAAGTTACAATACTCATGACTCTGGGTCCCCAAAGCCTCTGCTTACCTCTTGGGGTCGGACTGCTCCTGTTTGCTTGCCCATCCTGTTCCGTCTTTCGGCACTAGTGAGACATTGGGGTCATTGCCTTTGTTCTCGGCTTTCAGGCTTGGAAGGTTGGCTGGAGGTGGCATACGCCGGGCAATGGCAACTTTCCCGAGACTCTGCAGGCCATGGCGAGGGGCAACTGGAGAAAAAGATGGAGAGAGGGTCAAAAATGACTCATATGGGAGATATGATGGCCTCCCACCGTGGGCCACATTTATACATCTTGAATATTTTATTACCTACTTCCTCCAAACTTCTCTTAGAAAAGATCCCTTCTGCTGCCCTTAATAATCTCTGAAATTGGGCTAGGTGAGGTGGCTCACGCCTGTAATCCCAGCACTTTGGGAGGCCAAGGTTGGCAGATCACCTGAGGTTGGGAGTTTGAGACCAGCCTAACCAACATGGTAAAACCGTCTCTACTAAAATATAAAATTAGCCAGGCATCAGGCATGGTGGTGCATGCCTGTAATCCCAGCCACTCAGGAGGCTGAGGCAGGAGAATAGCTTGAACCCAGGAGGCAGAGGTTGCAGTGAGCCAAGATTGTGCCATTGCACTCCAGCCTGGGCAACAAGAGTGAAACTCCATCTCAAATATAAAAAAAAAAAAAAAATCTCTGAAATTCCTATCAAGAAGGATGAGATATGTAACATTCAATGTTTCTGTATGAGATCGGTTGATCATGAGGCTCCAAGGGGCAAGCTGGCCTCAGATTTTCCCAAGTCCACATTTCTTTGCCTCCAATTCTTACGTGTTCAAAGACAGGCAACCACAGACACGCCTTTGTAGGAGGGTAACTTGATGTTCACCCAGAGCCCACACCTCCTTTAAAGGACCCTCTAGTCTTTTGGTATCTCTACTACAGCCTCTTCTCTTCAAAGAGCTCCAAAACATATGGCCCATCCATGCCTAGTTTCCAACCATCAGAAGTATCTTTGCAGGACCCTCACCAGCGGGTTTCTGGATCTCTAAGGACTTGCCCTTATACGTATCAAACAGGTTGAGCGAGGAATACTTCTTTCCATCCTTTCCCTTGGCAGTCGGCCCCGAGCGATCGGACATTGCGCTGGAAGCTCATTGAGTATGTTGGGTCCTGCAGGCACCTCCCCCAAAACGTGCCGGAGCCTGTGGGCCAGACAGCAAGTGTCTCAGTCTCTGTCCCCTGTACAGACCATAACAGAAGTTTAAAAAATTCCGTTGTATTCTCATTAGGGATTCAGATATGAGGCCCTCTGATGTCTTTTCCTCCAGTCTATGTAAGCTACCCACTCTCTTTAAGCGACCACGATCGACTTAGCTCCCACACAGCCCAAATGCCATGCTCCCTCCTTTCCTCCAGACACCTTTGCCAAGGAAATCCAAGTAAAAATCCAGTATTCTCCTAGTATAAACACTCTGCGCCCTTTGTGCCACTCTACAAAGGGTAGCAGCCTTTTCATTCCTTACAAGTAATAATCTCTTCTCTCTTCACCAAAATCATTTCAGAGACTTAAAACAGGGCAAACAAATTCAAGCAAAACTAAAAAAGCAGCATACAATTCCACCATAGAAGAACTGAAACAGCGCTTTAGATTCCCTATTTATTGGCGACCAGCTACCTAATCATACACCAGGACCCTGTATCCCAGGTTCCCTGCCCAGCAGCCTCGTGTCCATCTGGGAAGGTTTGCAGGAAGGTATGCTGGGAGTTAAAGGATTTTATGAGCTTGTTCAGCTGGAATGGGGGTTGGTACCAGAGAAATCCTCATAGAACAACTGGGGCTCTACAAACTCCCAGACTATAGGAACCCCAAGTATTTGAAATATCCCATCTTTTCCTAAACTTGCTCCTGTATTGGCTCCTGGAAAAAACTGCTTCCAGGTGAAATACTGTTTCACCATGTGAAGAACTGAGAAAAACAAAGCTTTAAGGAGACACCTTGAGAGCACTATGGGCCAGAAACAGAGGGCCAAGGCCAAAGCCATCTTCGTTTTCCTGTCCTCATTAAAAATGTCCATCACCAGTGTTTCTCTCCTTGATACTTCTAGCTCCCTAAGCAAGCCGGACATGTCTCTCAGTCCATTCCAGAGTGACCAGGCATTCATTTACAGACGGGGGCAGTGTAAAGAGACGAGAAATGGTGGAGAAAAAAGCAAGGAAATCCAGACCGGCCCAGAATGAAAGCCAAAATTGGGGAGAGTGAACTTTATGACAAGCCAGAGATGAGATGAATGTAGCTTCGAAGGTGTTTAAGGAGACCAATCTGTGAAAATAAATATATGAAGGGAAAAGAAAGAAAAGGATCATGTAGTGAACAGACCAAAACTAACAGAAAATAATGAATACGAAAACAGGTGGAAAATATATGGAAGCCGGAATGGCAAAGAAAGGATGTAGAGAACGAAGTAAGAGGGCAAAGACCCAAAAAGAAAAACGGGGATGGGGCAGAAAGGAGACGAGGAATAGAAAAAATGAAAAAGCAGACACAGGGCGATTGAGCAACATAGAAAGCCAAGATGCGGGATAAAAGCAGGGTTCTAGAGTGGGAGTGGCTCGACATGAAGAGGGGCGCCCCGGGGGGGGACCACAGCGCTGATAGGAGGGGGATCCAACATGGAAGAAAAGAGCCCTTTGGAGAGGAGAACCTTCGGACGCGGCCCACCCCAGGGCGGCAGCGGGAGAGGGGGCCCACAGATGGGGGTGAGAAGCCAGGAGCGCAGCAGAAGGTAGGGAGTTACGGCCCAGGCGCAAGGGTCATCCCCTGAAGCCAAGACGGTGGGTGGGTGGGGGCAGACTGTGGATCTTGAATGAGCGGCCGGAGGTGCGAGTCCCAGAGTAGAGGTACCAGAGGGGGAGGGGCGGGCAGGCCCGGCAGCGGAGGACAAAATGGCGGCTAATGGCAGCTTCTCCTCCCCCCGGCCCGCCACCGCCGCCGTCGCCGCCGCCTCCGCCACAACCGCTCCCGCGCCGGAAAAGGGCGTCAGCGCACGGTTCACCCAGACTCACCTGGCCGGGTGCGCGGGGATCCGGGACCGGGACCTAGGGGCTCCCCGGAACGGGATGGCGGTGGGGCGGGGGAGGATGGCGGCGGATGGCGCCGGGTTCGGCTCCGCCCGTCTCCCTAGCTCACTCCGCGGCTGAGCTCCGACTAACGGCCCATCCGGGCAACCGCCGCCCCCGGGAGCACCCCCCCAACTCCCACCTCCCTTCGCGCCTAGACACGCCCCTTTATTTGCATAAGGGGCGGGGCATTTTCTACCCTAACCCTCTTCGCTGCCGGGGCTGCCCTTAGTTTAAAAAAAATAAAAGGACCGGGAACGCGGAGCAGGCGGAGGTTATTTGCATGAAGAGGAGGGACTTACGAGCGCTAGGACGCCGATTGGCTGAGGGGGCGGGGCGGGCCTCCCGGGGTCGGCTGTAGGGACGTGTTGAGGGGTAGGGAATGCGGTGCAGGTCGGCTGGGCGGTTGGGACGCAGAATTTACTCGACGAATGTGGGAGAAAGAGGCGGAGCGTGCGTCGTACGTTCAAGGAAAGATGGGAGCGGAGAGACGTAGGGACGCCAAAAGTGGAAGGAAACGTTACACGGCCCATGGCGCCTTCATCTGAGGAGACGGAGAGAGAGGACAGGGGCTGGCGGGGCGGAATTAGCAGCCGGAGGGCGGAGCTTGCGCAGACCTGGTAAGAGTTCCAGCTCTCGCGCCCCTCCAGGGGTTTGGGGTGGTGGTTGTGGGGAAGTTGGGGCGGGGGGAGGGAAATGCACCAGAGGGGCGGGGCCTTCAGTTACTAAATCACGTCATGCAAATGAGGTGGATAGACAGACCAATCCAAAGGTCCCGGGAAGCCTATCGCCTGCACCACGCAGTGAAGGCTTTCTTCGGGCAGTTCTATATATTCGCATAATGTATGCAAATCATTTGTACAAAGATAGGCTAGGAATACCTGGTTCATGAAAATATCGGCAACCATCGACTAAGACGGACATTTAATTTTATAACCAATATCTTCGTGAATAAATTTTCATATTTGATATTGGGAATTTGTAATTTCTTAACAATGGGTTTCATTTTGCAAAATGAAAGTAGTTTGCCTCCTTTGTCTCTTACTACCCGATTCTAGAGGCTCTCTGCTCTCATCTGACCTACTATCATTAAACGACTATGATTTGAAGGCGCTGGAGATATGCACAGGATATTTTAGAAGTAGAGAAATGAAATATGACTATACCTGGGGTGGTTGAGAAATGCTTCTAGAAGAGTTCTTATTAAGCGATATGAAGGGCAGGGCTTGGTGTCTTACACCTGTAATCTAGCACTTTGGGAATACGGAGGCGGCTGGATCACCCGAGGTCGGGAGTTTGAGATCAGCCTGGCTAACACAGTGAAACTCTGTCTCTACTAAAAATATAAAAATTAGTAAGCTGTGGTGGTGCGCCACTGTAGTCCCAGCTACTCAGGAGGCTGAGGCATGAGAATCACTTGAACTTGGGGATGGAGGTTGCAGTGAGCTGAGATAGTGCCACTGCATTCCATCCTTTGCCACAGAGTGAGACTCCATCTCAGAAAAACAAAAACAAAAAACGAGAAGTGAAGAAGATTGGAGTAGATGCCTGTGAAACATATATAAATAAATAGATACGAAGAATGAGTTAGAACTTACCCAAGTTTGAGGAGTATACATCTCAGGTGCAGAGAACAGATTAGTAGAGTCATGAATTTGGGGGGCCTGTGCCTAGGCTGACGTGGCTAAATAAAGGAGACTACTTGTTCATTATGGAAAGTGAAGGCAGAAAAGTTTGCAGGAATCAGATGATAATTTTAGCCTAAGGCTCAGTAAGATTTAAGATGACTCCCTGGCCGACTACCACACATACCATTTTGTTACCCTTTACAAAAGAATTCCTTTTTTTTTTCTTTTCTTTCTTTCTTTTTCTTTTTTTTTTTGAGATGGAGTCTCTGTAGCCCAGGCTGGAGTGCAGTGGCACGATCTCAGCTCGCTGCAACCTCTGCCTTCTGGGTCTGGTTCAAGCAATTCTCCTACCTCAGCCTTCCAAGTAGCTGGGATTACAGGCGTGAACCACTATGCCCAACTAATTTTTGTATTTTTTAGTAGAGAGGAGGTTTCACGATATTGGCCAGTCTGATCTTAAACTCCTGACCTCATGATCCACCAGCCTTGGCCTCCCAAAGTGCTGGGATTACAGGCGTGAGTCACCTCGCCTGGCCAGAATTTCTTTTAAGCGCTGTTCATGGACATTGTCTCCAATGAGTTTCTCCTTCCAGTCTCTCTCTCTTTTTTTTTTTTTTTTTTTGAGTCAGAGTCTCGCTCTGTCACCAGGCTGAAGTGGCTGGAGTACTGTGGCGAGATCTTGGCTCACTGCAACCTCCGACCCCCTGGTTCAAGCAATTCTCCTGCCTTAGCCTCCTGAGTATCTGGGACTACAGGCATGAGCAACCATACCCAGCTAATTTTTGTATTTTTTAGTAGAGATGGGGTTTCACCATGTTGGCTAGGCTGGTCTCAGACTCTTGACCTCGGGTGATCCGCCTGCCTCGGCCTCCCAAAGTGTCGGGATTACAGGCGTGAGCCACCATGCCCAGCCGTAAATTCCTTATTTTATTCAGTAACACCAGTTCTTTTATTCATCCACCCATTCATTCAAGTTTTAAACATTGAGGGCTTGTGATATGTCAGGTACAACAGCATAGGTCACTTTATCCCCATTTTCAGAGAAAAGACTCCCAGAGGCTGAGTGATTTGTCAAAGTGACAAAGCTTAAAGTGGCGGAGAATGTTGGTTCAAGGTATTCCTTGCTCTTCATGAAAGCTATCATGGGCCTGGGTACACTGGACATGTCTTTTCATCCTGCCTGCACTCCTTGAGGTTAAGGCTGTCTTATACAGCTGGAATCCCCCTTGGTGCATGAAGCCATCTGCTATAGTGGACACATTACAGTATTGTTGGTGGATTGTTCATATGGGCAAATCCTTGCCACCTTTCCCTCAAGAACTCTCTCTCCTTCCCAAACCCTGGAAAAAAAATCCCCGAAATAAAAACTAAGCTGACTTGATCTGCAGAGCGAGGGTAATTTATTTAATTTGTTGACTCTGGCTTACAATTTTGTCTTCTGTTTCCATATCTGGGTCATTAGAACCCCCTTCAATCCCACCACATTCCTTTTCCCTTCAAATCAGGGCAACTCAGAGATAGCTTTCTTAGCTGGGGGACCCGTTGGCTTTTCCTGTTCTCTCGCTTTTTCCTCATACATCAGGATCCTGGTTGAGATGGAAAGAGGCACAGGGATCAGGGAAGACTCTTCTCAAGGGAATAAATTGTAGGCTGCTGGGAAAGGCTGGAAGGGGATGAGATGTAAAGGTGGAAGGGGAAGGAGGAAGGGCAGGGGTGGGAGGTTCTGGGGCTGTGGGGACCAGGATTATGGATAGGGATGGGGACAGGCCCTTGGAAGGGTCCCTCTAAGGATGGAAGAAGGGATGCTGAGCAAAGTGTAGAAAAGTTGAGCCTGAGTACAAGGGTAGGGGTGGGGGAGGAGAAAACAGGTAAGTATAGGGGAGATTGGAATTTGACACTCACATTTTTAGGATGGCAGATCTCTTGCCCAACATCATCCTGAGAAAGTCAGGGTAGCTGAATGTCTCCCCAGAGCCACTGGACACCTCTCCAATTAATTTCTTTAGCTCTAGGTGAGTCTTGGGGGCCCCAAGTTTCTCCAGCATTCGCTTCAGGGACATGATATCTGGGGGCAGAGGATGAGGATGGGGAGAAGGTAAGGAGACCCTCTCTCTCCTCTCCCACTTCCACATCCCCATTCTTCTTCCTACCACTCTGGTAGGTGGGCCCCCTCCCAAAAGATGAGGAATGGAGCACGTAGGAGAGACCTCTGCCTTCCTAGGCCTGCACCCACCCCAATCACCCATTTCTCACCAATATCGCCGTTTCCATTAAGGTCAAACTCCATGTATTTCTCTGGATGAGGGGAGAGAGCAGAACAAGTAAGCAGTGACTAGAGGGTTTTTGGCAGGGGATTGAGGAAGGGGTTGTCAACCAACTGCTAGGTAGAGGAGACAATGTGGAAGGAGGAGGAGGGGCAGGCAGAGGAAGTAGGGTTGGGGAGTTGACAGCCAGCCAGGATTTAAGGAGCTAGAGGGGATGCTGAGAGGGGCAGGTCTGGGAAAGGGACTGCAGTATGTGGCAGGAGGGCAATAAAGGCAGGCTCCCCTCTTGCTACCACAAAAGTAAACTTTGTGTCTCTGCTGTCCCTGCCCTGTTCTTGTGGAAATCCCAACCCTCCTACCCCCGGCCCCGCCTCCACCCCTATAGTCTTCCCCTCACCTTTGAAGGCTTTCAGTTTGGAGGGCAGATCCTCGTCATTGCTATATTTGGGATCATCTAGGAATTGCTATGGAGGGGAAAATAAGAGCCAGGGTAGGCCGTCCCTATCCACGCCCCATCCCCCAGGCTCTGCCCCCTTAGTTCTTCCTTCTACCTTGTTGATCTCATCCAGCTTTTCTTCCTGATGGGCCTTCAGCAGTCCAAAAGCTTTTCCTCCTGTGGTGGGGGAAAAGGATTAATCAGCCCTCATCCCTCCTTTCCTCCCCTTACCCTGACACCAACCCAGGGACATTCACAGTTAGCCTGCCTAGACCAGGCGACTGCTCTCCTAGCCCACAGCCCAGGTCTGTCCATCTCCTTCCTCCGATCTGATGCCCCTGCCTATCCCACCCTCCCTACCCTGTAAATCCCTGGTTTGGCTCATAGCTCAGCAGATGCCCGTGGAGGTGGGGAGACAGACCAAGCTGGAGGCCTCTGTCTGCAGGCTTTTCTTCTCTCTCACTAGTCTTCTCAGATCCTCCCAAACTTCCCCTTTCCTCTCATTCCTTCCTCCTCTGCCTCCCAGACCTCACTTCCCCATCAGTTTCTGCTGACACTATCACCCCAGGAAGAAGGGGGAGCCCTGTGTGAAATGCAGATGAGAAAATAACATTCTCCCAAATTATTCTTAAATGAGAGCCCAGTGTGTACATGAAAGAAATATTTTGGGCCGGGCACGGTGGCTCAAGCCTGTAATCCCAGCACTTTGGGAGGCCGAGCGGGTGGATCACAAGGTCAAGAGATCGAGACCATCTTGGTCAACATGGTGAAACCCCGTCTCTACTAAAAAAAAAAATACAAAAAATTAGCTGGGTACAGTGGCGTGTGCCTGTAATCCCAGCTACTCAGGAGGCTGAGGCAGGAGAATTGCCTGAACCCAGGAGGCGGAGGTTGCGGTGAGCCAAGATCGCGCCATTGCACTCCAGCCTGGGTAACAAGCGAAACTCTGTCTCAAAAAAAAGAAATATTTTGATAAGCTACTGGAGCTGTGCAGAAAGGGGAGGAAGACACCAGGGGGATTTATTCTCAGGAACAAATGATTTTTTTGGACAGGTCCAACGTTCAGGTAGTTATAAGACCTTTCATGAATCTGGGCAGGCAAGTGTGGATAGGAAGTCAAGGAAGGACTGGCTGAATTTTCTTGCTCTGTAGATAGGAGAAGACTCTCAAGTCTGCTGGCAGCTTCAGGAGGATGACAAGATGGGCACAGGGTTTAGAAAGGGAGAGACATCTCACTCCCAGCCTGGAAGCTGTAAGGGGGCCCTTAGAAATATGGAAATGTCTAATGACAC